TTTTTTTTATAAATATTACAATTGAAAAAATTATTTTATATAATATATCATTTTTGAAAATACAGCTCTTGGAGTTTTAACAAAAATGAAGTTTTTTTTCTGATATTCGTATCATATTATAAGTTTAATTGGAATATGTTAAGGTGATACCGATTATTTGTGATATCTCATCTCTTAGCTACAGCTCTTTGAATTGGAAAGAAAATTGAATTTTGTAAAATTATTATACAGCGATATTGTTTATTGCTATAATAAATTGTAATATGTGATAAAAATTAAGATAAAACAAACGTATTTTAATGGACATAATCCACTTAATTATGTCCGTTGAATAGTTATGAGTAGTGAGTGGATTTATAAATTTTTAGATATTTTTATTAACTAAACAGCTCAACAGGAGTAAAAATTTTCGACAATTTTTAAATTACTGAGTAATATAGGTTGACAACGTGATATGTGGCTGAGGTAAATACAGTACCGTGTCAATATAACTGAATAATTTGCACTTAAAAACATATTTTGACACATATTTTATTAGTTTTTAAAGGAAAATTTTGCAGAATGTTAGGTGTTTTAAGCGTTTTTTTTTAATAAATCATGTTTTACATTGCAAAACCCTGTGGTTCAACATTTTGATATATTTTTTTTTTTTGAGAAATACATACTTTTTGTTATGACGGCAGAGCTACATCTAGGGAGACACAGGGTTCAAGTGCCCCGGGTGGCAGATTTAAGGGTGACACTGGAGAAAACATTATCCAGCTATCTAGCAATATAAATTATAGAGTTGAAGGCTTTTTATTTGCTTATTCAAATCGTTTTTGATTAGCAAAAAATAAGTCATTGGAAGCAGCGAAATTGAGTACCCCTGGTGGCACAATTTCTACATGCAGCTTTTAGTGACGCATCTTTTTTTTTTTGGAAATAATTATCTCTATTATTTCTTGAAATATTCAAATTGTTTATTAAAAAAGCCATTTCAATAGTTGACTATAAAAATATTTCTTTCTTTCTTCTTTTTAAGAGGAAGAAATGAACCCGAATTAAATCAACTAAGAAAAATCGAGTTATATGGTTTTGGCAATGATACAACGATATGCATCATATTTTAAAGTTATTAAAAACTAAAAATCAGTTTATTATTTATGAGATATTATAAATTATTTTTTGTTATAAAAATACTTTTTATTTGTAACAATTATTTACATTTCCAATAATTATCGAGAAAATGTCTTTAACTTGAAACACTTAAAGTGACGCTATCAACCATTGGATTTTGGCCAATTTATGTGTATACATTTTGTGACATCATAATTTTTCAAATTATTTTTATTTTTATTACCATTGTTGCAATAATTCTTTGTTGTTATTTACAAGTTTTAAGATAATCAGTTTGTTTAACTTTATTACAGTCTAGGTACCGAGTGTTTTTTTAGTCAAAAACAATTTTTTTTTGTTCCAACAGTACAAAAAAAGTATTAATACAATAAAACTTCTGAAAAAAATTTAAATGAAGCATCATATCAATTGGTCAGTCCACTTTTTTAAAATCTATTTCCTTTGACCCTTAAATAAAGATTTCGTTTTTTAAATTTTCAGTTTTCTCGTAGCAATTCAAGGGGTAGATAGAATTAAAATTTGATAAATATGTCCATAATGCTACATGATGATTCAGATGTGTTTTCAAAAGCCTAGGTCAATCAGAAGATTAACATACTATTGGAAATATAACGGGTAGTAGTTTTGTGAAATCAAACAGTGTTATCTGTTTTAACTTCTTTTTATTTATTAAAGCTTAGGACAATAGTGTTGTAAAAAATATAAGAATAAAAAAAACAATTTTAATTTAAATTTCTAAAATATTTTGAAATGTATAAAATTTTTATGTTTTCTATTTGACGCTGTAAAACGTTTGTCTATACTCATTGCAGAAGGATAGAAGTAACACATTCTTCATGGTAGTGTTAGTCTTAACAGTGGTTCAAATAAGTTTTTAAAAAAGAATGAAACAAAAATATTAAGTGAATTAAAAATTATAGGATTTGTAAGAACATTCGTCATACAAGTGTCTCACACTTGCATATAACATGCTCTTAAATATGCAGTGTATATTTACACAAAAGTTTTATAAAAAATATACTTACGTTTGAAATGGGCGAAAGTAGTCTTGAACTTTTCTTTAACATAAATTATATTTTATTAAATAAACTAGAATAGTACAAAAAATTATGTAAATGTAATGAGATTGTAATAGAAGCTGAATTGCTGCTATACAATTGGAGTGCTGTTAGTAAGTTTTCTTGTCGTTAAAAACAGTTTCAAAGTGTTTAATTTATTGTGGTAAATATTAGATGCGAGCACTTAAAACACGATACTCGTAAATTTATTAATGTGTACGAATTATAAACATACTTTATAAATTATATAATACGTATTTTTAGTTATTCAATTTGTCTTTAAGTATAATACTAAATTTATATTTACGGAAAATTTGACTAGTCCATTAGAAAATCTATTTGCTTATTACATTTTGATTAAAAAATGTAGTCATGATATATAAATGAAACAGAAATAGCTGACAACTCTTTTAAATAATTTTTTAGTAATTATATGAATAGAATTCTTTATGGTATTTTTTAATTTTATATATTTATTGAATTTTATATGGCAACATACATATGTAACTATCTAATAACATGAAACAAGATCTAATTAGGAAAATAACTGGTCAAAATCAATTTTTGAAAATGTACTTCAGAAGTTATTAACATTTTAAAATATAGATTGAAGGTAGAACGCGGCAGAGTAATGCGTAATAATAAAAATAACATAACCCACACATTATCTCCACTCAATATTTTAAAATAGTTACAATTTTGAAATAATAGGTCAAAAAATGTCATTGACCAATCTTTTTCTTAATTTGATTATTTTATAAACTAGACAAATATACAGATTGTTCAGTAAGTAAAGAAACAGGTAAACTGTTACAAACAATGAGAACAATAAATATCCGTTTCCTTAGATCTGTTTTATACTATATAATTCTTAATCATTGCAATTTACCTTAGTTGTATCATTTTTGCTATCGCTTGCGACCACATAATTTAGTATAATGTATAATAGAAAATAAAACATTACAAAAAATTTATGTGACATCATCGTTAAGTTTTTAATAATTTTAATTAAGATGTTTTTTCTTTACTTCTCAGAAATTGTACGTGTAATGACGTTTGTATTAAATAAAAAATTTATTAGTATTGGATAATGCTAATAGAATACATTTTATATACACATGAAAATAATAACAAAACGATAGAAAAATATAAAAAATGGTGGAACATATAGTTTTGTTATTTGTATTTTGATAATTTATCATTATACATGTAGAAGTATAACATATGTATAAATATATGTACATGTATATATTTTTCAGTGGCGGCTCGTGCTAATAAAATGTAAAAAGACATTTAATTGCAATTTTATTTTTTAGTAATCATTATATATATATTGTTTTTTTTTATGGATAAATGAAGGATTTTAATGTTTTCTAATGTATTACCTTCTGATTTTTAAATTTGCAATTTTTTAGGAGATTTCTCCTTTTACGGTGAACGAGAAAAATTTTTTCTCAAATTTTTGAGGATAATGTTTTGACAAGATACGATTTGTGAACTTTTGATGTATCGTTGAAAGAAATCGGTTCGGTGAGAGCTGAGAAAAATAATGACAGACACAAAAAAAAAATAAATAGTAAAAAAAACACAGCATAGTAAAATTAATACCTTCTCAGCTTTGCATCGAAGCTAAAACACAATACACATATTATTATTTAAAAATTCGCAGTAGAAAATAGAAATGTAAACAATAATAATAACGATTATACTATTAGAACAACCGATAACGACAAGCAGTTAATTCTAAAAATAAATTATTAATATAGTAACATTCTAATATTTTACGTCATGGACGACGCTGCCGGTTGTCCAAACACTACTCGTGTTTACATGCATACCTGGTGAGGGAAACCACTTTAATGTTCGCACATGACAAATGTATTATAACTATTTTACTATTTAAAAATGTAGAATTAAAAATATACAATTAATTTTCTTCTTTATATGTTTAGAGTAGCAAATAATACATTGATTTCCATCATAAAATATTTTATGATGGAAATCAATGCATTTTTTATTTTAGAAACAGGGGACTAGTGGTTGGTGCAAGCCACCAATAACTATTCCTAAGACAATTCTAAAAATCTTAAGACACCAAATTACGATCAGACATAACCAGACTCATGGATCGTGTACCAAGACTGTAAGTAATTTATACATATATATATATTCGTGTAATTATTAGCGGTGGTTTCAGAACGTTAAAAATGATTACAGACAATAAGCTGTATGATTCAGCCCATGCCCTATGGAGGCTTTCGGTAGTAAAACGGAATAGACCCTATGACCGACCTAGACTCATTGTCGGACACCGGTAATACGAGGTGTGTATATGAAGGTATCCAGAAGAGCTGTATAATAAGCACAACGACTTTCCGTTTTTGCCTTGTAAAAACGTTTTGACGGGTTCCAAAGAGACCAAACTTTAATATCCAAACAGCGATACGTGGTACATTATGTTAACTTGAAACAGGCGTTCGCACATGGACTGCAGGTCGATAAAGTAAATTCTTATGATAATCTAAAGCTATTAGAGATAATATTAATATTATTCACAGGTGCACCGTGTTTTGGAATATCAACAATGTGCTTCGTTGTGGTGTTTAAATACTTTTGACTTCCTTTTTTCAGCGTTTTTTCTTTATTTAAATACACACTGGTTTTGACAAGGATTATTTTGATGCGTGCAAATCTGATACTGAATAAACACCGGTGTTTTTTGAAAACAGTAAATCCACAAGATCTATAGTTAATGCATCGCCTGTTGGCGCATCATCGTCGCAGTTTCGACGGCTAATCGGTGAGATGAGCGGGCTTTTCCTTGCTGCTGGCTGTCTATTACAGGACAATGGTTGTTAGGATTATCTGCCAAAGGGTCATGTTTCATGACCGTAACATGTAGCTTCAACTGACGCTTTCCTTTGGCCGCAAACACTCCCTCGGCTTATCTTTTAGCTAGTTGCATGGAGCCCAGATTCATAGGGGCAAAGTTAGCGTGAAATTTTTTATCAGCACTGGATAAGGGATGTGCGCGGTAATACACCCAATCCTCTTCCTCAAAGCGTTTGCAGTTATTTTCACGGAACAAATTGTGACCAGCGTCGTTTTTACCGAAAAATGACCTGAAATTTTGAGAGGGTCGTCCTCCTCCCAGAAATTTTAATTTTCCCACTTAAGATAACGTAGTTTTCGGTTATCAAACCGGAGTTCTGGTCATTCTTCGGGGAAAATTGTTGTTTATTCGGTAACAATTAGTTGTAATTCTTTTTCTGTCTGGATATTTCTACTTGTTTCGGGTTTTTACCCGTAGAAATAATTTCCAGCAGCCAATCGCCGGGGACTTTGGCTTCTTGTCCGGTAAGTTTCTTTCTAACTTGAATGTCTGATACCTCTATAGCAGTTGGTCTGATATTTCCGACGGAACGACAATAATCTTTCCGTCCGTTCCGTTATTTACCGGGCCTTTAAGCAAAATACCATCTTGCAAGTAGTATTCTCGATGTAAGTGCCGGTAAATTGGTTTGTCACTCCGGAGCTTCCGGACATACTGGGCAAAAGTTGCATCTTCGGATTGCCAGGTTTTAATGTCGGAAAGAGCTACAATCTCCGGATAAGTTTTTGCTCTTTTACCGTTCTTGGCTGAGCTAAAAGAGTCACTTTTACCTTGCGGATATGTTCTTTCTGACTTTTTCTCGGATAACTCGTTTAAGCTTGGGTTCTGGTCGGACGCTGAACGATTACCCTGTACGTCAGTCAACATTTCTCTAGTAAATAAGTTTACGGCTCCGACCCGGAGGTTATAAAGCGAATCTATGTCAGATTTCCTTCTTCTCATTTCCCGTCCTTGCCGTGTTGCTCTCCGAGCAATTCGCCAACCAGTGCCCAGTCCTATTGCAGTCTTGCATCATACTGCTCCGGACGGATTTTATCCGATTAAACAACCTCTATCTCTGGTGACGGTTTCTTATTTGCACATTTGAAGCTATTCTCTTCCGGGAATACTTCTTTTCTTTTCTTTTCTTCGGGCTGCTGTTCCAGAGAAAATTACACTACGTTCAATTCGCTAGCCAGCTCTAGCAGATCTTCCATTGACCTAGGGCATCTCACTCTTGTGTGGACCCGGTATTCTTTGCTTATGAGCCTATGATTAGGTCAACCAGCTAGTACATAGTGAGCCTTGAGTCGAGTCGACGGGCTAGCTGGCTTTTCTACATTACGAACTCACCTAGAAATTGTCGTTCACCTTGCTGAGAACTATGAAGAATCATTGCGTACTTGGATAAGTATAGCAATGCTATTGAACCTACTCAAAAATTGTTGCCGAAACACTAACCATTTGCACATAGAAGATAAGTCGCCGGGAAAAAATTTTTATTTGAACTTATAATGCATATCATTAAATTTATTTTAGCTCGGAGTATTTCCGAAACATTTTCAAAACTTAAGTTGAAAAAGTTAAATTTTTGCACAGAAGTTGCTATTTTAAATCCCCCCTTTGGGCAGATAAAGTGTGTGATTTTCAAAAAAATGTACACTAAATAAAAGGAAAATATCTAAGATTTCAATATAAAAAAGAATTATTTTTATTTGTTTACTTTTCAATAAGTTATGGCAATTTTTAGAAAAAAAAATGTCGAAATTTAACGATTTTAAAAATCGTAATTTTTTGGAGGATTTTCATTATTAATGGGGAACGAAGGCAAAATTTTCTTTTTTTGAGGCTAATGTCTTCTACTAGGTACGATTTGTGATCTTTTGACGTATCGTTGAAAAAAATCAGTCCAGTGATAGCTGAGTAAAATAGTGACATACATAAAAAAAAATAATAAACACATCATGGTAAAATTAATACCTTCTCAGATTCGCATCAAAGCTAAAAGATCTACTTTCTACATACATTTTTAAGTTTTGCCCCCCCTCCCAATATATAAAGGGAATTGATCCAATTAAAAAAATGAAGTATGTCGAATGAAATATATAAATATATAGTACTTATCATAAAAAAATTGTAATAATAAATTTTAGTTTTTTTAGTTTTAGTTATTATTGAGGTGGACATAATGCCCATGCACTCAGACCTGTTGGTCCATTGTGCGCACCTCATACCGAATTGTCTCGATTCGGTTTACCCACCTAAGTGTTATCACCAAAGTGTTACATTACCAACCATAAAGTCACCTCTAAAGATGACCAAAGAGTCCTGTCTTTCTGGCGAAATTAAGTATCTCTCTGGGTTTTAGGTTTTTAATATCCTCTTTTTCAGGAAATGGTTTATTCAAGTAGTTTGATCTTAGTGTGGACAAGGCTTCACATTCGTACATGATGTGAAATGAGTCTTCCTCTTCTACTCCACACTTCCTGCACAATGGTGATTCTGATACCCCCATTGCGTTAAGATGCTTAAGCAGGTGACCATGTCCTGTCAGTAGACCAGTCAGGGTGCTTATTTGATGTCTAGTCATGCTATTAAGATCACCCAGCAATAAACCAGGGGTCTTGATAAACATTTTAGATTGTCTAGGTACTACCAAGTACTTCCAGATTTTCCTGTGTTGTTCTCTGCACCAATTCTTGGGTAACGCTTTGAGCGATTGCTCAGTGAGCCCTACCACTGGTTCTGGTCCAACATAGGTGTTCTCTGCTCCTTTCCTGGCTAGAAAGTCAGCATTCTCATTTCCAGTGACACCGTTGTGTCCCGGTACCCACGCTAGTGTAACTTTGTTGAACCTCGATAGTGATTCTAAAGTTTCCCTGCATTCGAGGACCAGCTTTGAATTCACCTGATCGTTACAGAGTGCTTTCAAAGCCGCTTGACTATCACTTAAGATAGTTATCTTCCTATTTTTGTATACCAGCAGGTTCTGAGCCCCTACCAGTATCGCCATCACCTCTGCTTGGAAAACAGAGGGTGTTGTGCCCAATGACATACTGACATTTATTCGTGGCTTTAAGCCCCAAATTCCAGCACCTACCTTTCCTGATTTTTTGGATCCATCTGTATATATCACAAATCCTCCTTTGTCAGTCAGGTGGTTAATATTCCATTCTATACGTGTAGTGATCTCCACTTTGTAGGGAATGTTATTCTTAAGAACCGGTTTGATATAGTCCAAGGGGTATTCTAAAAAGCCCTTGTCTATCTCTTTTAGTATTTTACCATGTTCTGTTGTATCACTCTCCAAAGTCCACATACCTAAGTTGTGGAATCTTAGTGCTGTAGCTTTGGCGTGAGCTTTCACCTCTAGATGCAGAGGAGGCAATCCAATTAGTGCCTCTAATGCGACCGTTGGTGTAGTTCTTAATGCTCCAGTGATGGCAATAGCAGCCATTCTCTGTATGCGACTAAGTTCTTTCCTAGCTGTAATGAGTGCTGTTCTGGTCCACCAGACTAGGGCACCGTACAATATCATAGGTTTAATCACTGACGTGTACAACCAATACATAACTCTTGGTTTAAGACCCCATGTCTTTCCCAAGGCTCTGCTGCAAGTCCACAATGTGGTCATTGCTTTTTTGATTCTTGACTCAACATGTGATTTCCATTTTAGCTTACTATCCAAGATAATACCTAAGTATTTTACTTCTGATTTTAAGCTAATTTCTTGTCCATTCAGAGTAAGAGTGTCCAGGCTGTCCAGTCCCACTCTCCTTCTAGTGAACATAACAACCTCTGCTTTATTTGGATTAACAGATAGACCGTACTTACTACACCATATCTGTATAGTGTTAAGTCTCTGTTGTGCTAAGTCAATAATAGTGTCTGGGAATTTACCCACCACTGCTATAACCAAGTCATCCGCATAGGGTAATAATAAATTAATTTTATTTATTTTTATATAAGATAGTGACACCTTCTTTAGGTTAGCACTCAGTCATGGCTCTCCCAGTATCAGCCGTTCACTATTAATATGGCAATCGGTGATCATCACACGTTTCCCCTGACACTAAGTTAAGGTGACCATTACCTGTTAGCTGTTGCTGATGTGTTAATGTTACATATGTCCATCAAACTAAATAAACACCCATAGCTGTTGTCCAACTTAAAAGATAGCCCTAATTCGCATTCCAAATACAATCAAGTACTACCATAGTTCCATTCCAAAAACTGCCTATTGACAAGCTTAATTTGCGGAGTCAGTAGAATAATTAGATTAGTACTTAATTTTAATAAATAAATGTATTAAACGACTTAATTGAGGTTTTGACCGATATTCTATATAATGAATTTAAAATAAAACAAAATGAATCACAAAATTAAAATTTTACACAAATACTAAGTACGTAAGGTTTTGTCAGTGATTTGGAGTTTCGAAATCCAACTGGTTATCCGCGGTGGTGGTGGCACACGTTTTAAGATTGGTTGGTTTAGACCAAAGTGTTAAATCAACATATTCTATTGAAATTGACCTAGGATAAAATCAATATTGTAATGCTCTTAAACGCTGTAATATTCTAGCCAATATAATTTACCTAGCGCAAACAATGCTCTATATTGTTTTACGCTCCAACACTAATCACTTGCATTTTGCAGTTTTTTCTCGAAGAAATTATTTCCAGCTGAAACATATTATAGTATGTAAAACCGCAGTTGCATGCGACTTATTTGACTTGGTTAGGTTTATACAACTTATATCTCGAGCAACACCCGGTGTATGTGATATTAAAAGTATCTTGTTCTCTAATCTCGGGGTTGTTGGGTTAATTGGTATGCCTCACGTTAGGCGCCAGTTAACACGGCCACCGGATTTTGACAGCTTCATTAGACCATTGGGCATTTATTATTCAGATTCTGATACACTTTCATATTTATAATGTGGGTTTAATGTATGTTACGAGTAGTTAAGTGATATTTAGTTAAACCTAAAAATAATGAAATCAAAAACTGAAATTTCCTACTTTCAAAATGAGGGATTTTCCGGTACCCCACTTCAAATTTAGGTCAATAAGCCTTGTAAAAGTTTTAGTGTCATTGGATTGGATTAGATAGAATAGGTGTGTGGATGCCTAATTGTATGTTATATGTCTCAATTACAAAGCAGTAGCTTGTTTGGGTCTACGACTAGTAAGCAAATCTTAAATATTNTACAAAGCAGTAGATTGTTTGGGTCTACGACTAGTAAGCAAATCTTAAATATTAGTTACATAATTTTAATACTTAATTTTATAAAAAAATATTGTTCTATATAAGTTGTAAAGCTAATATTATTTATCTCTTGAACAAAGATGTCTTAAAGTATTTTTTTCACGTTAGCAAAATGATAAATTTTATAGATGATATTATATATTAGAAATTATTTAGATTTAAATTTCAATTCCACTTATCGATTTTACAAATTTGCAATTTTAGTATTGATAAAATAAATTGATTAATGAATTTCCGATTTATATTTTAGTAATAATATTGATATAATTTTTTTCGAATATAGTAAAGTGACTTTCGTGGTTACTTTTAAGAACAAATATTTTTTGTTTTGTTGTTATGAATTACTTGTAATAAAATTTTATTTTGGATGATATTTAATAATATTATATTTTCTCTGTGAATAGGGGATAAGAATACTTCCACGGCTCCTTTGCCAGTCGCAAAAAGCGCTAATGAGGTTGCATTAAGTCGATAGCCGGCGTAAAATTTTTGTCAAAAAGTATGAGGAGTACTAAACAAAACTTAGGCGGATCTTGGATGTACGCGACCTTTTAAATAAAATCTTATGAGAAGGAAATATCTCAAATGAATGGAGTAATAGTATAATGGTGCCGATATTTAAAGGTAAAAGAGACATACAGAAGTGTGGACATTATAGAGGCATAAAGCTTATGTGTCATAGTATGAAAATTTGGGAAAAGGTAATAGATAAGAGAATAAGAAATGAGAAATCGGTATCTAAAAACAAGTTTGGATTTATACCTGGTAAATCAATAATGGAGCCTGACACGGCCTGTAATAGCGCACTATTCATTTAATGTGAATTAGCACGTTATCCGGTCGTGATTATCAGCTGTCCACCGTCACACTCGTTAGTGTTGACGATAATATTATGTTTGTCTTGTCCGGCGGTCGGTAGATAGGATGAGTCAGGAGGATTTAGCACCGCGAGACACGTCGGAAACTATGTAAACTAGTTCACCTGTGACTGACATTCACCGCGCGTGCCGCCGACAGGGTGAATAGTGTGGGAGGAGTAACAGAAGTTTTTAGGATAAAAGTAGCAGTGCACCAAGATTCTACTTTAAGGCCTTATTAATTGTGATTGTGCCAACATGAAATATCAAATAATATTTTTATCTTTATCCAAAGACCCTTATAATATGTGGTCTATTTCTTTTCAATCACCTGAAGGATGATCTAGGTTAGATGTGACAATACTATACATTTATGCACAATAAGTTANAAGGACGATCTAGGTTAGATGCGACAATACTATACATTTATGCACAATAAGTTATGTTAATGTCCTACACTCCGATGACCCGCACTGTGTTAAGATCAGACTGGCTAATCGACAAGCAGAGAGACACTTTAGAGAACGCTTATAATTAGTTGGAATCTTGACTACAATTCTATTGTGCTAGTACTCTGTTCAGCCAGATTGTGGTGCTTCAATAAGTAATAGAACATAATGCAATCTAATTATGTATTTTTAAGTGTATGTATATATAAAAAATAAATAAATATCAATATTTTATACGTGAATATTTGTATCACCAAAAGTATTAGACTAAAAATAAAATGTATAATATTACTTGTAAATCCCAGCGATTATAAATGGAATATAAAAATTGTGTAGATTTGATATAGATTTGTAACCATGAGCAAACCATACACTCACTCACATTCAATTTGTGTGTCTTGATTGAAAACTCTAGAGACACGCGTCGTAATTATAACTGAGAGAGAGTTTTTGGGGGGAAATGACTCTTTTATAGCCCGCAAAACTGGTTTAGCGATTTCTGGTGAGATTCTTGAAATATTTTTTTTTTTGTATTTGATTGGTCAATGTGATAATCTTTTAAGTGAACGTTTTCTGGAATGTGTAGGAGGGTGGTTAAATCTCGTCTAAGGGTATTATTTTTTTATTCATCTTATCCACGAGGTAACAGTGATTTGTTTATATGTTTTTATTAAGTATATGTATTATTTACTACATTTATTAAAATGTATACTACACAGATCTTGAAGAAAAGGATTTAAGAATAAGTAAGAGTAAAACAAAGTATGTAGAGTACGAGTTTGATAAAGGAGAACACGACGTAGGTGAAATGAGAAGTTCAGTGACAATAAGTGAGGACGTCATAGAAAAGGTGGTAAGATTTAAGTATTTAGGTTCAGTTGTGCAAAAGACCACGAGGGTGTAAGATACAGGATTAAGTCTGGTCTATTGTGCGATAAAAGAATTTCTAAGACGCTGAAAGGTAAATTCTATAAGATTGTAGTGAGACCAGCTATGATGTATGGATCAGAGTGTTGGGCGTCTGATAAAGTCGGGGATTGACGGCCGATTAATGTACCGGAAATCGTGTGAAAAAAAGAGGCATGGATTCGGATTAGAACTCGCCACCCAATGCATGTCTTACATCCACGACATTACCACCGTTTTTTTGCACAACTGATCCGAAATACTTAATACTTATAGTTCAGATACCGATACACTTTCATACAAGTTGATAACGTGATGTGCGCCCGAAGAAAACACGGTACAGTGTCACATATTTTTGGATAATTGTACACAATTACAACGTTTTTATTTTAAAATTTATATATAGTGTAGTGTTTTGGTGTTTATATTTATTACAAAATACTACAATTAAAATTTATAATAATTAATACTTTTTAATAATGAAAAATAATTTTATACGTACATAAAAAAAAGAGTACAAATAAAAAGTGTCACTGGATTGACGAACAGCGCGAGAATAGAGAAAATACANATTTATTATAGTTAAAATAATTATAATTTATAATTGTAAAACAATATAACAAATTTTTTTTAATAAACATCTCTAACATAAAGATCATCTATATAACATCTATCTATAGATTGTGTAATATAAAAACATTTTTCATTTTTCATATCAAGATTTTCTACTTCAGGCCACTTTGGATGGTATAATGTCCAATAAAATATAGAGTTATGATTTAAACCAGTTTGACGCGGTCGCATTGCACTTCCGGCTTTACCGCTGGATGGCGACTGCGACACAGCTGCCTCTCCTCGTCCGACAGGTCGCGCGACGCCGAGTGACCGCGGGTGACGAGAACCGGTCCAGGCCGCCGATCACTATCAAGTCTGACTTACTACTATTCATATCATCATATTGTTTGTTTTTGGACATTTTGTTACTTCCTTTTGGAATTGATATTGTCATTTAAATTCTTATGTATAATTAGTTGAAATATATTACAAAGTAAAAGTTTAATAACGGTGTTATTCAATATTAAACTATCACCTAACCACAACATTGGCGCAGTCGGAATATTTTTTTTTGCAAACTAAGAAGTTATTAAGGTAAGTGCTAAATAATTAAAGCAATTATTATTTGTAGCACCCTTAACAAAATATTTGCAAAATAGAGAACCTACAGCTTTAACTGGCTAAAAGCGTAGTAAGTCCCAGAAAAAGAAATTTTTAAGACTTAATTAGCCATAAGCTTATTAATTTTTGGG